ATATTGCCAGCGCGCTTGGCATGATTCCTGACTCGCCCGGCGAGGGCCAACCAGAGGCTCACCTTCCCAAGCTCGCCCGGCGCCCACATCTTTGCGCTCAATGAGCTTGTCAAAAGGAGCCTCCAGGTGGTCTCGCGCCCGGCGCGAAGAACCGCGCTCAGCGCGAGGCTCATCAGCAACCTACCCAAGTTCGAAAAACTTCACCAATTCTGCAAAATAATCAGAAAATCAAATATGCAATCGGCCCAAAACATCACATTTTCATCAATAACTTAAAAAATCTCAGCTTTTTCAACATGTAACATCAAACGAAAACAAACCCAAATTTTTCAACCAAAAACCCCAACAACCCCAAAACTTCATTTTCGTCCAACAGCCCTCAAATCCGCAAAGAGTCAACCAATCAAGTGAGTCTCAAGCTCACTTTCAAACAACCGGAAAGAAAATCTAGCTTCCCTTACCTCGGTGAAGAATCCGAGCTTCCGGGAAGAGGCAATGGAGAAGGAGAAGAAAGGGAGCTTGAACGGAAGAGGAAGAAGAAGCTTTGCTGCTCCGCTAGCTTTGCCTAACGTGAATCACCACCTTCAGTCAAAGGAATGAGAAGAAATCAGCCAGGTGAGTGAGAATGAAAAAGTGGGATATGAAAGTGAGTAAGTGAGCAGAAGAGGGAAAGGAGGGAAGGAGTTACGGGGCCTCACAACCTCCCCAACAACAAAAGTTTTCGTCCCTGAAAACAGACTTACTTGGGAATAAAAACGGATATTGCTCCCTGCATTGCTGCTCCACCTCCCAAGTAGCCTCACCAGTAGCTGCATCCCACAGTACTTTTACCAGAGCAATGGACTTGCCCCTCAGCTCCTTCAACTTATGATTGACTACAGCTACTGGCAACTTCTCAAAAGTAAGGTTCTCCTTCACTTGCACATCGTCCAGTTCCACCACATGACTTGAGTCATGAATATACTTCCTCAACTGAGACACATGGAATACATCGTGTAGGTTTGAAAGAGATGGTGGCAGATCCAACCGATAAGCGACCGAACCTACACGCTGTATGATCTGATAGGGACCAACAAACCTCGGTGTCAACTTCCGAGCCTTCAGCGCTCTACCCACACCCGAAATCGGAGTCACCTTCAGAAATACATGCTCTCCCTCAGCAAACTCCAAAGGCTTGCGCCTTTTGTCAGCATATGACTTCTGCCAACTCTGAGCAGTCCTCATCTTCTCCTGAATCATCTTCACCTTTTCAGTAGTCTGTTGGATCAACTCTGGTCCCACAGCCACTGTCTCACCCTCCTGGTACCAGCACAGAGGAGTCCTACATCTTCTGCCATACAAGGCTTCAAACGGCGCCATTCCAATGCTAGCATGAAAGCTGTTGTTATAGGTAAACTCCACCAGAGGTAGGACCTCCTCGCAGCTACCCAAGTGGTCCAACACACAAGCCCTCAACAAATCCTCCAAGGACTGGATTGTCCTCTCTGACTGACCATCCGTCTGCGGATGATAAGCAGAGCTCAGCTTCAGCTTCGTGCCTAGAGCTTGGTGTAGACTCTGCCAAAATCTAGAAGTGAACCTCGGATCCCGGTCGGAAATAATACTGGAAGGCACCCCATGCAGTCGTACTATCTCCCTCACATATATCTGTGTCAGCTTCTCCAAGGACCACTTGATGTTGACAGGCAGGAAATGTGCACACTTGGTCAACTGATCAACAATCACCCAGATAGCATCACTATTCCTAGCCGACCTAGGCAACCCAACAACAAAGTCCATAGTGATACTATCCCACTTCCATTTTGGAATCTCAATCTGTTGCATCAGCCCACTCGGCTTCTGATGCTCAACCTTTGCCTTCTGACAGGTCAGATAGGCCGCCACATACTCAGCTATCTCCTTCTTCATACCAGACCACCAAAAAGTCTTCTTGAGGTCCTGGTACATCTTAGTCATACCTGGATGTATGCTAAGTCTGCTCTTGTGGCCTTCCTCCAGCACAGCTCTCTCAGCTCAACATCCTGAGGTAGATAGATTCTGCCCTTGAACCTCAAGATTCCGTCCCCTCTCAGCTCAAAACCCACAGCCTTCTCGGTACCCAGCAACCCAAGAAGCTTCACCAACTCCACATCCTGCAACTGCTTTTGTCCAACCTGCCTCAAGAACTCATTAGTTATGGTCAGCATTCCACAACTAATGTGATCCTGAGCTAACTCCACATGAAGATTTAGATCTCCGAACTCCTCAACCAGCTCCAGCTCCTTCACCATCATAACAGACATGTGGATGAATTTCCTACTTAGCGCATCCGCCACCACATTGGCCTTATCAGGATGATACATCAACTAGAATTCATAATCCTTTAGAAACTCCATCCACCGCCTCTGCCTCATGTTCAACTCCTTCTGATCAAACAGGTACTTCAGACTCTTGTGATCACTGAAGACACTGAACCGAGCACCATACAAATAATGCCTCCATATCTTCAAGGCAAACACCACTGCTGCTAACTCCAAGTCATGAGTAGGGTAGTTCCTCTCATGATTCTTCAGTTGTCTTGAAGCATATGCCACCACTCTCCGGTTTTGCATCAGTACACAACCCAGACCCTAGTGAGACGCATCACAGTATACATCAAAAGGTTTCCCAGAATCCGGCAACACCAGCACAGGAGAAGTAGTCAGCCTCCTCTTCAGCTCATCGAAACTCCGCTCACAGGCATCTGTCCATATGAACGGCTGCTCCTTCCTCGTCAGTTGGGTTAAAGGCGCCACTATCTTGGAAAATCCCTCAATGAATCTCCTATAGTAACCCGCTAAACCCACAAAACTCCTGATATCCGTGACAGTCCTTGGACGCTCCCACTGCAACACCGACTCTACCTTAGTCGGGTCAACAGCAATCCCCTCAGCTGAAATCACGTGGCCCAAGAACTTCACCTCCTCCATCACGAACTCACATTTTGAAAGCTTAGCATATAGCTGCTTCGCCTTCAAGGTCACTATGAATATGTTGTGATGCTGTTTGGTGTGACCAACGCCCCTGCTGTGTTCATGGATTACATGAACAGGATCTTTCGGCCGTTCTTGGATAAATTCGTTGTGGTGTTCATTGATGATATTTTGATTTATTTAAGGACCCCGGGAGAGCATGGAGAACATTTGAGGATGGTGCTGGAAATTTTGAAGGCGAAGCAGCTATATGCTAAGCTTTCAAAATGTGAGTTCTGGATGGAGGAGGTGAAGTTCTTGGGCCACGTACCCGGTCAAAGTGAGTATTCCCCGTCAAAGTCGGGACGGGTTTGGGTATTACCCACGGGTACAAGTTTATTTGCCATCCCTAGTTTCGACTGATCACGAGGCTTAAGACTGAGCGATCTTCCTTGGACATATCGGCGCCGATGTATGTGACTTGGGTGGAAAGTACACCGAGCTGTAGCTGGATTTTCTCGTCAATCGGTTCGACGCGCTCTTCGTCATTCATTCTCGGATCGAGATCCCAAGCTACAGACTCGCCTGATGCCGAAGGGGTTACAGCATGAACCCTTTTGGATTTTTGTCGCCTTTCTTCTACGGGAGATATGCGTAGACTGGCGAAATAGCATTCTCGAGCAGCCTTCTGATCGGCGTGGATTGTAAGGATCTTCTATTTGTCAGATGGAAACTTCATTGCTAAGTGCGGTGTCGAGACAATTGCCCCTAGCATGTTCAATGATGGTCGGCCGAGGAGGATGTTATAAGATGTGTTGGCATGCACTACAATATACTTTACCTGAATATCTCTACTTTCTTGTTCGTCAAAACAAAAATGAGTGAAGAGCTTAATATACCCTTTAGTGCTTACCCGTTCTCCTGAAAAACCGACCAGGGGGTCATCATAGGGGATCAACTCCTTCTCGGAGATACCTAACTGCTTGAAGGTATTCCAGTATAAAATATCCGCCGAACTGCCCTGATCAACCAATGTTTTCTTGACTATGCAATTGGGAATTTCTACGCTGATCACCATTGGATCGTCCTGCACGGGGTCAATGCCTTGAAAGTCGGCATCGGTGAAGGTTATGGTTGGTAGTCTTCGGGAAGGCTGCCTATCAACGACATGAACCGAGCGGATAGCACGCAAGTGTCTCTTTTGAGCTGAGGAAGTTGAACCTCCCCCGGAGAACTTATTATTATATAAATTGGGCGTTAGAATCGGGCGTTATATAAACAAGTTTATTTTATCATTAAAAAAATAACTTAAGTTATTCTCATAAGATATTATAAATATATCAATAATAGTTATATATTAGAGATATATCTTAAATTTTTGGTATAAAAGATATGTCTTAATTTACTTTATTATTGTAGAGAGCAAACAAAACACTTTTACGATATTCCAATCTTAAGTTTAGAAATTGTATCCATACCAGCATGTTAGTTATACTCACTTCCTAGATACAAAATGTTTGTTTAAATAAATTTATTCATAAACACCTAGAAGAAAGTAAAATATAAAAAGAAAAATAAAATAATTTTTATAAGTTAATTTTATAAACTTTTTTTTTTAATTTGAAATAACATCTATGAAGCTTCTTAAATAATATTCTGTAAATTTTAGTAGTATGTAAAAAATCTAAATTAATCCGAATTGATCCATAATCGATCTAATTCATATCGAAAAATTTGATCCATTTTTAAAAAATAATCCCATTCAATCCACTTTATAAAACTGGTTTAATTATCCGATTCATTTTTACAAAGTGAATTAGTTTGATCCGGTTTAATTTTTTAAAAATCGATCCATATATGAATAAAAAATAGGTAATCGCACCACACCCAACCAATTTAATTTAAAAAATTAATTTATAATTTAAAAAAATTAAACCGGTCCAGTTTTTATAAAAATGGATGGATTAACTGATCCATTTTAAAATGGATCGATTGAGTTTAGTTTAAATTTGGCATCCTATATGTAATAAAAAATAGAAAAAAATGTTTAAAGAGAAAAGAAGGCGGGAAGGGGAAGGGGAAGGGGTTAGTGTGTAAAGTAAAGTAAAATGAATGGAGAGTCATCATTGATGGAAAGGGAGATGAAGGAGAAAGCAAAGGGTTGTTGTTCGGTGGAAGAGAGGTACACTCAGTGGAAGTCCCTCGTTCCCGTTCTCTACGATTGGCTCGCCAACCACAACCTCGTTTGGCCTTCTCTCTCTTGCAGGTTCTCTCTCTCTCTCTCTCTCTCTCTCTCTCTTTCGCTTAGGGTTTTCCATTTCCCAATTCATTATTAATCCTTCCTTCGCAGATGGGGCCCTCTACTGGAGGAAGCCACTTACAAGAACCGCCACCGTCTCTATCTCTCCGAACAGACTGACGGCAGTGTTCCCAACACTCTCGTTATTGCCAATTGTGAGGTTGTTAAGCCCAGGGTTGCTGCTGCCGAACACATCTCTCAGGTCTCCCATTCTTATTTACATCAATTTTTATTACTTCCGCTCTTTTCCTTTTCTTCGCTTAACTCTTTTTCTCTTCATCTTCTTCTAGTTTAACGAGGAAGCGCGCTCTCCCTTTGTTAAGAAGCACAAAACTATTCTACACCCTGGCGAGGTTTTTTTTTTTTTTTTCTTTCTTTTTTATTAGAGGCTCGCAAAACCCTCACTTTACAATCTTTGGGTTACTTATTTTTTCAGGTGAATAGAATCAGGGAATTTCCACAAAATAATAGCATAGTAGCCACTCACACGGATAGTCCTGAGGCAAGTTGTGACTTTTATGCTTCATTTTCACTGTCATATTAGAATATCGTTACGTCAAGGATTGTTTTTTCTTTTTTCTACCTTTTACTTTTGTCCTCAAACTTCCTGTTATTAAACTAATCAAAGTTTGATGAACGAATTATAATTTTTTTTTTTGTAAAACAGGTACTAATTTGGGATGTTGAAACTCAACCAAATCGTCATGCCGTTCTGGGGGCAGCCACTTCCCGTCCAGACCTGGTTTTGTTTTCATGCAACCTTTTTCTTTAAAAAAAAAAAAAGGGGGTCTTCCGCCCCTTTCTTTATTCATAAGTCAGACGGTTGAAATTGGAGCCTTTCCTATTTTTAGGTATTAAAGGGCCATAAGGATGATGCTGAATATGCTCTGGCTATGTGTCCCACTGAGCCCTTTGTTCTTTCTGGAGGTTCGAGTCTTTTTATTCCCTTCTCATCTAAATAATGTCGAGTTTATTTTTTAATTGGTTTGAATTTCTTGCTCAAGCATTTGTTTTTTGGGATCTGAAATGGAAAGTTATCTTCAGGTTTGTAGCTTATAATGTCAAGCAACACAAATATAGTAGTTTTTTAAGATTGATTTCATCAACAACACATACATATTGGTTATCCAATTCTGTGGCAAATTAAAAGTGCTGTGTTAATGTTGCTCCTACAATATTAAACTTTATCTCTTAATTACTTCCATGAAAAAAAATATGGTAATGTCTGTACTCTTTCTGGATGATTTATTGTTTATACTCTCTACATTGGACTGTGTTGACTTTGTTTGAATTCATTATGGCAGGGAAGGACAAGTGTGTGGTTTTATGGAGTGTTCATGATCATATTTCAACTTTAGCAGTAGAAGCAGATTCCGATGATAAACAGGGCTCTATAATTGGGGGCAATAATGAGAAAGGTAAAGAAAACTCTTCTATTGGACCAAGAGGCATTTACGAGGGACACACAGACACTGTTGAGGATGTGCAATTTTGCCCATCAAGGTAGCTGTTTCTTGCTCTATTTGTACTTTGGTACTTGCGTCAATTTATGTCAACCAAAATTGAGATTATTTATGAATTGAGTCTGGTAAAATGTCCTATCATGTGGTATATATTTGTAGTCCATTCATTTTCATGTTATTTATTGTTGTTAGAATAAAAATTTTGGTCATTTTAATTTTTGATTTTGATATTTTATTTAGTAATGATAGAATTTATTATGTTTATCAAATTTACTTTATTTTATGGGGAGACTTGAGTGGTAAACACACAAAAAAATTGAACTATAAAATCTCAATTTCAAACTGTTTTGGATATCTGTCAAATATTGATGGATTCACTTGCTGATTTCCATATCATTTTTTCTGTTTTATGGTTTTCTGATATACTTTCTGCACTTTCTTTTTGTCACTTTGAATTGAAGTGCACAAGAGTTCTGTAGCGTAGGTGATGATTCTCGCCTCATACTCTGGGATGCACGAGTTGGATCTGCTCCAGTTGTTAAGGTTTAAATTCTTGAGTTCATCTATATTATTGCTGCTTTCTTCATGTTTCAAAACACCAAATATTAATGGCTGAAATTATTTCAAGGAAATAAGATAAATGTTATAAGTTTGGCATCATCACAAACATCCCATCACTTGTGGAATTTGAATCCTGTGCATAAAGTGTGTGGTGGCTTGTGAATAGTGAACCTAATCCTTAGTGGTATTGCACATAAATTGTTGCTATTATGAATATTTCTTTAGAGGAAAATGACTTGAGTACAGCTTATATCTTTAATTGAGGTTTTGGTATCATTTTTGGCATATTTGAAAATTTAGTTTCTCGCAAATCTCTTTTTTTTTCTTATGTACATAAATGTTGTCGTTTGTGTTTGATATTTGCTTTTTTCTTTCAATTACTATTATGAAACATTTGTAATTTAGATCTAAATATGCTCTTACATTCATGGTTGTCTTTCAAGCAGGTTGACAAGGCGCATCGCGGGGATCTTCATTGTGTTGATTGGAGTCCTCATGATATAAATTTTATCCTGACTGGGTATCGATTGAATGTGAACTATGATTTTTCTTTATTTGAGGCTATCTTTTTTTGTTCTTTTATGGGTTTGACTTTGATGTTTGAAGATGGTGCTTTTATTTAGCTTGACACAGTTTATCAGCCTTCTGAATCCTCATTCTAATTTTTTTTTTGGTTGGATTCAGTTCTGCTGATAATACAATTCACATGTTTGATCGTCGGAATCTTAAAAGTGGCGAAGTTGGATCACCTGTTTATAAATTTGAAGGTCATGATGCACCAGTCCTCTGTGTACAGGTGGGTGGGAGATCCCACCTCGTTTCTTTTAATTTCAGTTTTAACGTATTATGGCATTTTAATTTAGTGCTTATTATCCTACAAATTTGATCTGTTTTAGTGGAATCCTGATAAGTCGTCTGTGTTTGGAAGTGCTGCTGAAGATGGCATTGTAAACATCTGGGATCATGACAAGGTTTGAACCCCAAAACATGCAGCAGTCCTTTTTGTCCAATGCCACCTTTCTTTTTATGAAATGTGAATTGTATATAATATTTTATCAAATGTAGATCTTATGGACTTTGAAATTTTAATTTATTCGAGTGTTAGAGCTACTGAAAAATGAATCCACAAGCCTTTTTTTTTTTTTTGCTTATCAATGAATTGTTTGATCCCTTCCAGGAAAAATAAGAGTTCCGAATGCCGCATATCAAAAATATTTGGAAGAATCTTTCTTCTTGCTTGTTATTTACTGCAAGGTCTAATCCTATCATGATAATATAGTTTTCTATATTGTCACTGCTGGGTAAAGTCAATAGACACAGAACCCTGTTGGCAGGAAAAAAAAGTTTATTCTGGCACTCTTGCTTATTATATATGATTTATCTCGCTGAGTATGATGTTAGAATTTTTTGTTTTATTTTCTATATTTGTTTGTTATTGTTATCTAAATTTGTGGTGTAAAGCTAAATGATTGTTACTTTTAGGTTGGTAAAACAACAGCAGATTCTGCCGATTCAACATCCCCTGGTTTATTCTTTCGACATGCTGGGCACAGGTATGGAATCAAATGGTTGTGTTCTTTCATTTCTTTATCAGTTCATTGGAAAAGTGGTTGGAGTTTTTATTACAACTGCACTGTTCAATTGCATCATATTGTAGTGATGTAAATATTTCATGGGTGATGGCGTAAATACTCGGTCCTTATCACGTACCAATCTGTGTCAACCATGTATAGCTGATGAACCTTTTTAATAATGTTTCGATGCGATGCGTACTTGTGCATTCAGGGACAAGGTTGTTGACATCCACTGGAATGCATCTGATCCATGGACAATTGTTAGTGTCTCCGATGATTGTGAAAGTAGTGGTGGAGGTGGCACCCTACAGGTAAACATAAGTTTATTCTATCTTTTAGTTAAAAAGATTTCTCGTCCACACATCATAAAAGATTTTGGCACATGTGGGGTTGAATTTTGCCAAACCTTATACTCCTTTGTTTGACTTATTGCATAAAGTAATGGGTTTCTGACTTTTTTCTCATGAATTTCTTGATTTCATCATGTGAGTGGAAAATTGAAAAATTCTAGGGAGATAAAAATATTTTCGGATATACATCGAAGGTTTTGGTCATTCCTGTGTTATATAACTAAAGCTTTTTCCTTTTCCTAATTTTTTTTATGACGCAGATATGGCGGATGATGGATCTAATATATCGACCAGAGGAGGAGGTGCTCGATGAGCTGGAAAAGTACCATTCTCATATTTTTGAATGCAACTCATGACATTTCGTAAAAACTGCAACATTTACTAATGCCAGGATCGAGTAGAATGTTACTGTTAAAAGAAGATACTTAAATAGAAGGATAAATTCAGTTCTTGCTTTTCATGTTCTTCAATCAAAATTGGTATTTTAGTTCAGTAATTAGTATTGACCTTTAATATTAACTTTAACTTTCATCGCTTGAATTTTCAAAATGAAGTTCTTATTTTGATTGAAAAACAACTTAAATTTATTCTTTGAATTAATATTTTTTTGGTAAACTAAAGTTTTCTCCAGCCAAAAGTTAATGAAGTTCTTAATCAAATAGATAATGTTATCTGATAACTGTCCCACGTGTGCTTGAATTAATAACAATAGCAGTTACTGTAAAATTTATAGGTGGCCTTATTTGTAAAGGTATGCGGAAGAAAGGTGAACTTTGGCTTGGCCAAGTTAAGGCCTAGATTGCGTTTAACTTGGAGCTGGGCTTAGATTTTGTTAGTTATTTTTAGTTCGTGTAGTTTAGCTAAAAAAACGTTGTAGTAGCTGAGTCTAAAGTGTTGTAATTAAATAGAAGTTTAAAAAATGAGGTAAAATACGCGCTAAATCAGGACGCAAAAGTTTCATCAATCTATTTATTACAATTCTGTTTATACCAAACCATGTTCCAATTTAAAATGTTTATGCTTGTACCGATGTGCATATTTTTGGAAGAGTACTATTTTGTTACTAAAGGAAAAAAAAATGAATTGAGAACGTGAACCAATATCTTTTAAAAATAAACTAGATTAAAAAATTAAAAACTGTAATACAGGATTTGATACTTCAACAAAATTCTTGCACTTTCACGAAAAATGATTCGTGCTGATTAGTATTTAACTTTCAGAAATGACACTTTTGTCATGATATTTGCGGGCTAGTGGCTATATTGCACCTTCGAAGAAGTTGTTCAAGAGCCTTTTTTTTGCCGAATGTTTTGATTCAAGGGGAACAATGTTACGTATATAACATCAGCACCGTCAGTCTTTTGGGCTGTTTATCTTATCATGGATAACCCAAAACCATCTTTGTTTTAACAGAACACAATTGGTAACAATGCTAGTCTCAGCCATCCCCTGTTTCTTATGCCTTGGCCTAAGACAGGAAATAATAGTAATGGTATTGTAAGTCGCGTTAATTTCAATTTAACTGGCTTCCACTTATAAATTCCTAAAGGGAACTCAAGTTGTGTCATCTATATTCCATTAGCCAAAAATGGCACAGGCAAAGAACCAAAAAGAACATTCCTGTGACCATAGATACACTACTACAGGTATTGGATGTACATACTAAACTAGCTCAGGAGGTTACAGTTAGCCATGCTAGTAGGCTTATCAGCTTGAGCATAATCTTGATTTTCCATTTTTTTGCCTGGGCAAACACAAAATGTGGTTATTGGCAACTTGAAGCTCCGGGATATTTTTAAAAAGCAGGGACAAGAGGCTCCCATAAACTTGCAAACTCAAGAAAAAATGATACTAACCAAAATGAATCTTTCTTCTCCTGTGCTAACAATTCTTCAAAAGAAATGTCAGCAAAATCATCATCTCTGTTCTCGCCTAGTCCACTTGATTTTTCCTTCTCCATGCAAGCTCCAAGTTCAAGCATCTTTGTAGAGAGGTTTAAATAATTAGCACATCATAAAAAATGTTAGTTAATACAATGTTAAACCCTAAATATTAAAAAATAATTAGCACAGATGAAAAGCAAGCTACAAGAAATCCACGAAACTTGTGAACATAGTGTTTACTGTGTAACTTAACACCTCATAAATTAAATGGATACCTTCTGGTATGCTGGTGAGAGTTTAAGCTGTTGTTGAAGTGAGTTATAAACAAAAGCATCCTCTTCTAAACGTTTTTGCTCTAATTCTAGCTTGTATATCTGAAATATTAAAAAAATTAGATCATCTGCAAGCTTACCTTGGTGAGATAAAGGTTTCCTCGTAACATCTTACTATCAAACCAACCTGTTGATGAAGGCGATCAAAAGAAGATCTGTCTGCCTTGCATAGTAAAGCCTTCGTTATAACAAACTTACGTTGAATCACATCAGCTCTGTTACAATAAGAGGGTGTAAAAGAATTAGAATAACACAGAATATGAAAATTTTGGTGTTAGGAATCTGGAATAGTAAATAGTGAAAAGAAAACCAAGGTTTTATTTCTTGATAGAAAATGAGCAAAACAAGGTAAATGATTTCCCCTCCAAGGGTTTTCCCTTTTCACAGCTGAGCATTTGCTCAACTCCCAAATGCAAACAATTCAGAATGATCTATCTTCCCTTACATCCTCCTATTTATTTATCTAATTAATCCCTTCCAATTAACCGATTGCTCTAACTGCTCCTAACTAATCACGTGCAATCCATCCCAACACGCTAACATAGTTGTAAAAGATAGACAGAAATCTCCAATGTCACCTCAAATAAGTTTCCATAAATACCCCCTGCAGTGTGGGGAGTGGAAACCAAAAAAGAAGGAAAGTAAAATTCTGAAGTGCTGTAGAATAAATTTGTACGTACTTGTGCTGTAGCTCATTCCTAGCATCAACCAAACTATTAGCAAATTGCACAACCTGCATTACAAAGGATAAGAGAATTAAATTTTGAAGATGTTCATATTAAAATAACTTTCACACCGACATCTCATTTTGAATGAGAATGCCGCTGAACATTGAAACATGCAAGTATCATGAAAAGGAGAATACCATCCATCATCGTTAAAACAAAAACAACATCTGAATGTGAAAATATAAAATGAAAACTACCAAAGAAAGAGCACTTTGCTTTCAACATAGGAGTTAAGAGCACCCTTGGTACATGTACAAAATCATTTAGCAAGTCATGTTGTAGAGATAAACAATATTACCAATCATTTGCAATGAATAGATGTTCTCTGTTAATTGCACTACGTTTATAGTAAACTTGCATCCTAACAAAATTCCATGTTTTTTTCCCTAAACCGCTCATCCATCCCAAACCACCCAGATACATTCAAAATTTTTAGGTTGCCACTGCCTTGGCCCCATATCTTCTTGAATTACATAAACATATTCATTGCACGATTTCATCAATCTATAGAAAATAACCAGATCACTGAAACATAAATAATAACAATCTGAGACGTTAAATGAAACCCCCCCCCCCCATTTCCATTTTTTATAGACTACAAGACAAGTTTTTACTTTTCACCCAGCCCAACGTGAACGCAAGTACATATTTTTCCTCCAAAACAACAAATATGTGGCACATTTTTTTTCCACAAAATCCAATCCAGTCTAACTTGCAAACTCCACAGAGAATCAATTCTTATTATTTGAAACATGAAAGGAATTGTCCACATAAGTCCCAACTTCAATGATAAAGTACCTGGAGGCTAATGCTATCCTACCTATCAGCAACTGCTATTTCCCTTTATTTAAAAAGTAAAAACCATATTTTTATTTTCTGTGTAATAAAACAAAAGGGTGATAAATTAATGAAAGAAAAAAAAAAACATGTATCACAGAGGAACCAACAAAAATTAAAATTTAAAGAAAAACCTGCGGCAGTGTCAATTTCCTCAAGTGGTTACACTTGACGAGTTCATCATACTGTTGCTTGATCTTTCTCTGCATAACGCTACTGGAAGACGTAAAGGGAAAGGAGTTGGCGGATTCAAGTGGGAGGCCCGAATTGGTTCCCTCTTGGGGTTGGGTTGCGGAAGCGGTTGTCTTGTTCTTACCCTTGTTCCTCTTCTTCTTGGGTCTCTGCTGGGGTCGGGGCAGGTGTTTCCGTTTGGAGAGAAAGAGAAGAGAGAGGAACGCTAAGAAGAGAAAAATGAGAATGGGAATGGGATGGTGCATTTGCGAGTGAGGGTGGAGTGAGAATGGGAATGGAGAATAGGAATAGGATGGTGTTGGTGGAGCCTCCATTCATAAATATTCTATTCCCTCTTTCTTCTTAGAAGTGACTAATCTCCTAGTTAGGATTCGAACCCTTGATCTTGACCCCAAGATTTAACGCGACTGCATACACAAGGCAAGATTCGAACCATTGACCTTGCTTAAGCGTAGATTAACCCCTACCGCTGAACCACACGCTTGAGGTTTTCATTATTCATTTAAATATATATATATATATATATATATATATATATATTTTTTTAAAATTATTATTTTTAATTTATGTAATTTTAAAAAATCTTATTTTACCTCCTCATATTACCAATGATATATCTGAAAGTGATAGATTGAGATAGTTATGCAATATTAATTAAGTTTAAAATGATATTTTTATTAATAAAAATACTAATTTTTTTTACAAAATTTGAATTTAAAAATTAAAATAATATTTTTTAAAATTATATAATTAAAAAAATTAATTTTAAATTTGAGAGACAAAAACTAAAGTAAATTTATCTTTGATATAAAACTAATTTATACATGAATTAAAAATAAAATTTTGATAATTATATAAAAAAAATTATAAATTAGTTTATATATAAACTAATTAGTTTAAGAAAAAAATATTTTCTTTTCTTTTCTAAATAATTCAATAAAAAATTTATCAAAATTCTGAAAAAGGTTTTTTTTTTTGTGAAAATTGGCACTAAAAAATTTAAACAACTCACGTGTTTAAACAACTTGTACCATATTTTTTTTATTTAAGTGTATAGTGTATACCATTGTAATTATTCTCTTTTGATGTGATGGTGATATATTTTCTTTTTATGATAAATGTTTTTTTTTTGTTTTTTTTATCTTTAATCGCACATGCAAGGTGTCTTTTTCTTTTCATTTTGATAATTTGGCACTTCAACTTCAATAAATATGGATTTTAGTCTCTCGCTAACGATTTGAAGAGGAAGTTTATTAAAGTTGAAATATCAAATTTATTAAAATAAAAAAAATATAAGAACTTTGACAATATTCAATCCAAAGTATGGAAAATAAATTTATTTGAGATACTATTTGACCCAAAATATGATTTTCTTTTTTAGTGAAAAGTCAAATCTTAATTTGGTATGATAACTTGTCTCTTCTCTTCTATTAAATTCAACTCCTGTTAATATAAAGACATAATTTTCCAACCGAGAAAATGAGATGGAAAAATATATAGCTCATTAAACAGTTATTTAGTGAATAGAAAGATATCCTGTTATATATTGACAAAGAAATTAAATCTGAATCTTTAAATTATTATATGAGGAGAGATTAAATTACTTTAAAAATAATTTTTGATAAAATTATTTTACTTAATAATTCATAGTATATATTAAATTTCAACAATTCAATTATAAAATTAAAATTTTTTAATATATAGATCAAATTTATAAATTTTTTAAATAAATTAAAAATTATATAATATTTTATTATATTTAAATATAAATTATAAGTGTTTTAAATAATTTTTTTACTAAAAATAAAAAATATTATCTTATAAAAAAAATTCTCAAAAAGACTTGAATCTTCGCATATTCTTAAGAAAACACAATGTTGAATATTATCACTATTACTAATTTCTTAATTAATCAGGGATACTTAGTCAGCAATGATGCATATGTAATCATTTATGATGATTATTTTCCCCTTATACAAGGTATGAATCGTTTCATTCAGCAGTGAGTATACGTGTCTCCGTGTATTTGCCACACTGAAAACAGAGTCATCCAACACAAAGCAACAAATATTCCAAACTTCTCCTTTGATGACACATACGTATTTCTTTTACAGTATTATCTCATCTTTCATTCAATAAATTAAAGATAAACATATTTAATAATAAGTAAATACAATATGGAATAAGTAGAAATAAACTGTTATGTTATCAAATTTCACCATTCAATCATATTTTAAACAATTCAAATGATAACAATTAATATTATCTAGTCTTATTTAACTTCATTTCAACCTTCTTCATCAATCCAAAAATATGGTGTGCACTATTTCCCTTGGAAGAATTCAAAAAACAAGGCCAATGGAACTCAAAACTAGGATCATGTAGAAACCAAAAGCCACAACACAAGCCATGAAATAAGGAAACAAAAATGACTGAATTTAATAAGATCTTATTATCTTGGGAAGTTTCTTACAGGAAGAAAGAAACTAAATCGCTATGAATGCAGCTTAGAAGAGAAAAATAATATTACAGGAAGCAAGAGACTTCCGCACTAAGTCTAAAACACTAGCACAAGGACTCAATCAGTATGTCTCATCGTGCACCAACCAAATCTTCACCTTTCACTTCTGTATAACAAGCAGAACACAGGTATATACACATATCCACAATCATCTCAGCAATCTTTACAGGCTTTCAACCACATGGTGTGTTGTGTTTTTTGCAACTTCACCTTGGTAAAGCCAAAATAATAATGCTTGTGGTGATCAAATTATAGGCTTTCATTGAACCAAAGGCACTGTATTGAATAGTGGGAAAAAAATCGATGTGAAGAGTTCAATCCATTTATTTTGAGGTTAAAATGATCAGGAACAAATAGCTTCCACTGAGAGTTTCTTCATGACATTTGGACATGGATCTCCTCCAAAATTTTCAGGTGACACAGTTACTGTGCACCAGTTCTGTCCAACACAATTCTGCAAAAACAAAGTTATCATTGAATAATGAACCAAGTAATAGTAAGACCAGAACAATAAATGTATTGTTTCACTATCCAAATAGAAACAAAAAGAACGCAATACCCTTTGAAAGGCATCATAAGACTTGTGAGCGTGACAGCTTCCTTCACGGAAGTTTCCACAAGAACCTACTGGAGTACCAAAACTAGCAAATTTGATTGATGAGATTTTCTGTCCAAGGCCACATGATAAATGAACTTTTGGTCTCACTGGTTTGCTAACTTTGCCTGAAGTTTGCATCTGATAGCTTACAAGATTTGGCTGCCACTCATAAATATCAGCACATACACTATCTATATCCCTTCTAACCAAAAAGATTCCATTTGGATCTCCACCTAACTCTTCAAACACAACCAATAAATTTCCAGTTGGCTTTAGCCATGAATGAGGAACATGATACCTGAAATTACCACCATGTAATTAGTTTGTCAATAGTTCCTCATTAGCATTATACAGAACTACATAAGGGCAAGCTGTATATTTCTCACCATCTTTGAGAAGCTTCGCCACAGTTACTTGTACATTTTTTCTCATTATAAGTTCCAGCATAATCACAGTAATCACAGGTACCAGATGCTTTATAAGCAGGCCAGTAGCGACCAAGATTTTGTCCATTTAACCACACTTGACCTTTGCCCATGCTGTTCATGTCTAAAGCCAATGGTGCACTCCCAGCTGGCGCATCAAAAGTTGTCTGTAATAATATTAAAAAGGATATTGCTTAAAGACCAGTTTCTCAACAAGTGTGTTGAAAATTTGGGGTTTAGATAGTGAAAAGAGGCAAAAGAGAAAATAGAGACAAACTGATATTGATTTGATAATGTGATACAAAAGACAAGTACTAATAGAAGTGGTACCCCTTGTAAGCAATCATCTTAGATACACTAAAATATCCTTATAGATATGATAATAGTATTGTGAAATATTTTCAAGATATTCTAACAAAGTGCAACCCAAAAGGGTCTTATATTTATGAATAGAGATAGTAAAAAAAGAAAAGAAAAGTGAAATGTGTCCTTTTTCCATAAGGAACATCTCTCTGCTTCTTCTACCATTATTTCAAATACTATTTATAACAATAATAATAAAAGAGTACCGTCTTAAGAACAGGTCAATATAAATAAATAAAAAATTAAGCAAAACTTGCATAGATTTAACTTTAGAAGGTTATAGAGGTCCTGTGATATATTACTCACTTTGTACCAAGTCAATGGCTGCCTTCGAGAAACCAAAGATCCCCGAATCCAATCCACTGAGGAAGCTCCACTGAGAGAGTGAAGACTCAAGAGTTCACCTTTCAGACCAACCTAAACAAAACACACAATTAGATGAATTGAGTTTCAAGCAATTTGAAAGAGTAGGCGAGGTGAATGTTTCAGGAAAAACCTTGTAAGACCATTTCTGCCAGGTCAAGTCCCTTCTCCCTTCGTTGAGACCATTTAATGAAATTGGGCCAAGAACACCAGCATTCCATGTTTCAAAATGAGGACCAACATTCTGCATGTCAAATAACAGACAATGAATGATATAGTCATGATCATGACCCACAGTTGATGATACTGAAAAATCAGCTTAGTGTGACATGTAGGGGTGCACCAAACAATGAATCTATTTGGATATAAGCTAGAAGTGCTTTTGAGAGTTTTTCTACTGAAAAAAGCTCTTTGTTTTCAGTAGAGAAACTTTCAAAAGCACTTCTAAACTTGAATCCAAATAGACTCAATATCTATTTCATGTGTTTGTGTGTGTATGAGAGAGAGGACAAACCGGTAGTCCAACTGCAACACTTAGAAGAGAGATCTTGTTAACACCAGATCTGAGATTCACTCCCTTGCTAAATGTAAGTTTAGGGAATTCCAAGCTTCCATATGCAGTTCCTGATCAAAAGAACAAGAACAGGCTCAATACCAAAGCTACTGGACAATTATTAGCTTCTAAAGAAAAATATTAAATTTACTCTGTTCTAAAAAAGAGGTCAAACAAGCATGACACTGAGATCTATGCTGTTTCACTCCAAGTATTGGGTAAATTACTAGATGAGACCCAGACTCTACTATTGTTTCCATGCAATGTTCTAATTTATTGAAACCTCAAAAACATATAATAACTAATTTTAAAGGGTCACCACTTCTTTCTCTTGGATCATACTAAAAAAAAGTACAGCAGATAACTGAAACTATTGTTATTATTAGTTGAATGAAGTTAAACTGAAATCTTTAGGCCAGCACATTATGCCCCTCACCTGTTAGCTGACCATTTATAAAAACATGCAAAGCATGCCCAGCAGAGAACACCGTAAGAACAGGATCATTTCCGTTTCTCAGAAATCCTTCATTTGGATCAATCACAACACTGACAAAACAAGAGCAAGACAAGTATAAGATGTGGAAAAACCAAAATGGATAATAAGATTCATCAATTGTGTTCTAACTTTTAACCAAGGATTATGAGGGAAAAAAAGGGAAGCAGGGTGCAGAGTTGTATGTCACTCACTCTGTGGAGTACCACAAGTAGTCGGTTAAATCTCTCGTCGTATTTAACTGCTCCAACAGGCCAGTCATGGTGAAGGAACTATCATCGGTAGTGGTCGTTTCCTCGTTGAATGATTGCCAAGAGAGTCCACCATGAATAGGAACACGAGTCATCTTCATCTGGGCACTCTGAGAACCAACCTGTACAATACAAAGATTTTGGAATTTTTATTTTGGCTGAAATCTGCCACTCGAAAAAACTCATTTTTTTTCCTTTTAACAATCATATTTGGATGCTTTAAAGAAATAGAAAACTCAATCTTGTGGACAAAACAATAACTGTATACAGAAGGTTATTAAATCCACTCAATCACGTGTTTGGCCAAAACTTTCTGTACTCAAATATTCATTATAAGTTAAAAACTAACCCGTTAATCATCAGAAATAAAAAATATATATTATTTTTTCTCACCCTTGCAGTGTTATAAACGGTGTTCTTGCAGTCAGGAAGAATGCTTATAGACCAAGGAGGTAAGTTGTAATGCATATTTCCAAAAGCCACTGTTGCATAAGATTTCGGGTTATAGTTTGCAAGGAATGCAGCACAAGCTCCCGACTTTGATTTAAAGACATGGGCCTGAACATAAAATGATAAAAGATAAAAATTCAGTCTGGTTATAGAGCATTTTAAATAGGATTGATAATTCTCCCATCACCGAATCAAGTTATACCTCTTGATAGTTTCCAATCTTTGTTACAGTAGGATCTCCCGATACTAATGCTGGTTCACAGAGTTTTATTGCTCTGTGTAAATCCTTCAGATGACCCCACTTTGGTTGCCTGAGCAATCCTGCACAAAGGAGCAAACAAAACTAAGAATACATGTATATCAAATATGTAAAGCTCTTCACATATAGTACACATGAATAATGGACCATTTCTAAGGCTAGGACCCACCAATAGATGTGGGACAAGAACAACATCCAATTAATTGTACAACATCATTTTTTGTGTCTATCTCTTTACATCACATCTTTTATTACATTAATAAATGATGGAGCAATAGATAGACAAAAACTAGCGTTGTAAAAACTGTTGCATGAATTATTGAACGTGTATCATTAATATTAGTACTTATTAGTCATATCAGGTATTTGGAATCCTTTGCACTTACCATATTCATCAAGGGGTGCATCATAATCATAGCTTGTAGCAATAAAGGGACCACCAGCAGTTCGACCAAAATTTGTTCCCCCATGATACTGAAAGAAACAAATATAGGGACTCGGTTGAATGTTTAAAAAAGGTGAAAATGAAAATACACATCAAAATCAATAAATAAAGAAGTTACCATCATACCATGTAATAATTTACAAATGATCCCCCTTTCTGTACAAACCTTGCAACTGAAAATGCCAAGTCCTCAGCAGGTCGATGAGGAACAGGACCTCCAAACTCAGTAAACCTGCAAGCATAAAAGAGGAATAGAGGCAATGAATAATCATGCGATATCTAAAGCTTGAATGTTTCTTATTCTTATGGAAACCAAAGAATTAAGAAACAAGGCATCAGTACCAGCCAGTCCAAGCTTCTGTCCACATCTTTGGCTTGTAAGCTTTGTTTGGAGAGAAATAATCACAATAAAAGCCATTGCAAGTGTTAATCTGCGAAAGATGACATTTGAAATTAGAAGTTGAATGCTAGGAGGCATAAAGGATTGCATAAAAAACATAAAAAATAAAAATAAATAAAAATAAAAGGTTTTATGACCCTTTCTAGCATTCACACCTAGGAAAAAGAGCTATGGACAATAGAGAAACGAGTCTATACAAGATAAAAATGTTTTCTTAAAAAGATACACTTCATCTGAACTTACAATAGGATCAGGAGCATCATCTTGCTTGCACATGATCCATGGAACTCCAGTACCAAGTCCTATAGCCATATCTGCTGCCCACTTAGTGTAAGATTTACCCGGAGCACCAATTTCGTACTCCATAGGTCCATATTCATTTTCAATCTGTACAAAGACACCAGTAGTAAAGATAACAGTCTTAGTACACATCTCCACTCTTTTAGTCAAGGAATGAAAAGCTAATCACTAAATAAATATACAAGATAACATAAAGCAAGTAATTGGATTAAGTAGATGGCTAACAGCATATTTTTCCTACCTGGGACAAAATTATTGGACCTCCCTGATTCTCAAATAACCTCTCGGCTTTCATCAAATCAACGATCTTCGTTGTAAATTTTTGCATTTGATACTTCATTATGGCAATGGAAAAAATCAAAAGAAATTATAAGGTACACACAATAAAAAAGGAAAAGATGGAGAATATTTACCAATATTTAAGGTACAAGGAAGAGTGGAATCTTAAGTATCTAACCTTAAATGGACCATTGTCTGTTCTGAAGCTGATTCCCGGAATGTACTTTAGCCAAACAGGGAAACCCCTGAAAATCAATCAAGAAAAAACTGTTCAGATATTTCTAATCTGAGATGCACCAATTTTTTTGCAAATGAACGAATTCACTACCCGAAGTTCCACTCAGCACAGACGTAAGGACCAATCCTGAGATTAACATAAAGGCCTGCTTGCTGCGCCAGCTTTATGAACTTCACCAGATCATAGTTCCCCTCAAAATAATACTACAGCAATCAAGAAAACAACAACATTGTTTATTCCTCGGTACTCATTCATAACCATGCACTATTCAAAGAATGCAAGATAAAGGCATTATTTTGTATTTTGAGGTACCTTGCCAGGTGAGGGCTCGTGTCCATTCCAGAAAACATAAGTCTGAATCACATCCAAACCTCCGTCCTTGGCCTTCTGAATAAGATCTGGCCACATCTGAAAAGGAAAGAAAGCCCACAAGTTAGAAATGCAAAAGGAAGGAACTTTAAGACACCCATTTGAGAAATGCAATAGTAATACCTCAGGGGTGCTCCTTGGGTAATGAATGGATCCAGAAATGAGGATCCTTCTCTGGCCATTAATGGTGATAGCCTTCGAGTCATAGGACACTGAGGCCTTGGCAGAAGCAATGAGAGAAAAAGCCACAAGCAGTAACACATTCCACATTATGAGCTTGAAGCCCGTCATCAATGATTCAATAGTAAAAACTAAAACCTTCTTCTCCCTCACTCACTCACTCACTCACTCACTCACCTTGTTTCCGGTTATTCTATGTAACAAGGAAGTAGCTTTGGTTTGGTTTGGTTTTCTTCTCTCTCACACTCTGACTATTATTCCTTTCTTTTCTTTTTGCAAAATGATGAGATGATCTGAATAAAAAATAATAAAAATAGGAACTTTGCAAAGTGAGTATTTTTTTGGGTGTGTGACTTTAATTTGAAACCAAATGGGGGTGTGGTGATTTTAAAGGGTGGGGAGTGAACTGGTTCTGGTTGGGTTTGGAAAGAGAGTGGGACCCACTTTTGAGTGAACTTTGGGACCCACACACTTGTCCTTACGCACATCTGACGCGGACCTCAGCTTCAGCTTGAACCAATCCTATTTTTTTCATTCTTTTCGGATTTAATAATTAGTAATTACTAGTAATTTGTAATTTGTAATTTGTAGGAGCTTACTTACAGTGTTAGAGCAGTTTAAGGAAGAAATGGAAATTAATGTTAAAGGCGTGTTTGGGGAAGCAAGTTGCCCCAAAACGTGATTTAAGCGACAGAGAGAAAGATTCTGCAGCCAAATCCCATTGGGTGGGTTCCTTTTGTGTTTTACATTCCCACGCGCTTCACGCCCTCGTGCTTTGCGCTGCACTAAGAATAATTACTATATTCTTTTTTAATTATAAATGGAATTTTAATTCAATAATCAGCCTTAAATTTTAATATCAACATTTCACGAACTTATTTCAGATGAAATTTTAGAGCGTCTTTCTTTAAAGGAAAAAAAATTTATTAGTTGGACTAAATTAAATGTATTTAATATATATAAATTTAGTTTGATAAACTATTTTAATTAATTAATTTATAAATTATTATTTTATTTTTATTCTCATTAATTATTTTAAACATTAAATATTTGTATGCAACTTTTTATATTTATAAGTTAATTTATTAACTAATTTTACTAAATACTTATATTTTTGTGAATATAAATTTAACTTAATTTTATAAAATCGACTTATAAGATAATAATTGTTATTTATTTATATATTTTTGTTCATTTTACATTTAGTTAATGTGAGAATTAAGTTTTTTTTATAAATTTTTAGTTTATAAATTTTTTATTATTCAACTTGTATCTTAAATTTTTTTTAAAAACTTAAAAGTAATTTTTTTCACACCCTTAATTTTAAACAGAAAGTACTAACATTCAAAGTAGTAAGAAACTACACTTAACTGACTTAAGCATTTTCTTTTTTTTACTTTTCAATTTAATTAATTTTTTTTTAATCACATCGATCTATTATCATAAATAGCCCCATGTTAATTGAGATAGGATTAAGAAAAAAAATAATAAATCATATTAATATTTATTACTTTTTTCTTTTCCAATCAATTTACATAAATTGAAAAAAAATAATAATTAAATTAGTTTAGATAATATTAATATTATCAATAATTTTTGAATTTATAAAATCACTTTTATTTTACAAATATTAATTATCTATGAATCCAATTATCTTCTTTTATATCTCGTCAATTTTCTTTTTATCTTAATTATTTATTTCATCTTTCTCTCAATATAATAGTGATTTATGTTTCCTGAGAAAAATGATTAGTTATTTTTACAACTTACTGAGAAAACTTAAATAACATGTATCATTAAATTAATAAATTGTAATCACCACAAGCAACCATTAAGGTCGAATTGCACACACTCCTTAAGTATGAGAGTGGTGGTGAGTTTAAAAGTATTTACAGGCTTATTAGTTATTGATCTACCCTCTTATATTCACCACACTAATAGTGAGCAGCTGTTAGTTTCTTTATATCCCAAGTTAATGTATTTTCATTGATATTAGAGGTATTTTTATTTTCAGTTTATTATTTTTCTAAGAAATAAAAAATTAAAAATAATTGCACCCTTTTCTTTCAGTTATATTCACTAGAAGAAAAATACTCGATAAGAATATATAATTGTTTATATTTTTAAAAATAATAATAGTTTTTAATATTAAAAAACAGAGAAATTTTTTTGAATGGTTTACTTGCTTTGAGGATTTGCCAACAACAGATTGCTTTATGTACTATTAGCATAATATGTTACAAGTAATTCCAAAGAAAATAAAATAGTAAGTATATGCATGCAATTATCTCCCTTGATCTTATTTGAATGCTTGTCAACAACCTGCAGGAGGGGAAATAATTGATTGTGGAAAATCAGTCATGTCGTTATACACATATTCTTACTTAGACATCAAGAATATCTTTAGTTTGTTACTTGCATCTGCATGCTCCACTAACTGGGTGCCTTTTGTTTTTTAATTTTTTCAAAGACACAGACTAAGAAATAGTTGTTATCACTTATCGTGGCTTTTGTATGATCTGCCTCTAAGATTGGTGTCATTTTAGATCGATGTTAAACTAAATTGATGTGACCTAAAACAAATATTTATTATTATGTTGAGAGAGAAAAATGATAACAATGTTTGTTGGTGCAGAACCATGAGACTTAAAAAATGGTGCAGAAGGATTTTGGAAGTTTTGCTTCAGATATTGGAAACCTTTGATTAAATTTCAAATTCGATACTTTGCCATTAGTACCAAAGTAGATGAATTTGTGTCAGAAATTTCCCAGCATATTTTTGTCGGAAATGCTTTCATATGCAAATATATAATTTAGATTTCTGAAATTTGTTATAAGGACATAGTGAAGTTAAAGAGAAAAGAGGATCTATTAATCAAATATTTTTAAAAGGAAACTGGGATTAATAAAATTTTCATTACAAATACCTTTTAAAAGGTTTATTCTAGAGCAGGACACTGCCTTTGACATGAAGGCAGTTAGATGTGAAACATCAACAACGTCAACTTGAAGCATTAATAAACTTTGTTCTGTAAAACGTTGAAGAATTGAAGATTTTGTTAATTACTTTAAGGAAACTAGTTTCATTTACAAATAAAATACATATATATATATATATAACAATGTTTATGGAAATTAAGGCAAGTTAACTTTTTAAATGTTTGGTGCAGTGAAATTGAGTGAAAGTGTGTAGAATAGTAGGTGGATTTCACATGATTTTTAATTCCTATGAATGTTAGAGGATTTGAGGAGAAATTCACCTCTTTTACATTTTTGTCCTCCCAAACATGTTCTTTAATTTTTATTTATTTATTGAATGTCATTTGAGTAATCTAATTTATAATATTAATTTTACTTTTATTTAATTTAATCTAATATAAATAAATTAAAAAATTTATCTTTCTCGAATTTCTTTTTCATTTTCTTCTTACTATACAACTTTATTTTCATTATATCTTTTACCTACTTTTTTTTTTCTTTTTTTTTATTCTCTCTGTTTTTTTTCTTCGCCAAACAAGGCATAAAAGGGTAAGCAATACGTTTAAGTCAAACATCGAGTTCGATCTTTAATCAGGGAATATAAGTGTCAAATTAATTAATGCTAACAATTATTTATATTAATTTTAAATTTTAAGTGTAGATTGTGTCCTCTTAATTTTAACTGGGCCAAGCTATATACATTTTAAATTCATTATTTTTTTTAGAAAAGTACTATTTTGGGACCTTTTTTTCTTATTTACTTGTTATTATTTTAAAAAGGTCACAGTCAGTATTTTAAGAATTTTGATTTCATTATGTATCTTTTTTTAATTTAAATTATACTAAATATATTGCAATGCATTAATTGTTTTAAATTTTATACTAAATTTAAAAACGCTATAATGGTAGATATTTGAAGAAAATTGATTTCACAATGTTTTTTTTATATTTTATTTCAACATTGATACTCGGTATATTTAAATGCTTTAATGATAAGTATTTTTAAAAATGATTTCGTGATGTTTTCTTGTTAATTAAATATTCATACTGAACATATTTGAATTTATTGATTGCTTTTACATTTTGAACTAAATTTAAAAATGTTATGATGGTAAGTATTTTAAGAAAATTGTTTTCTCAATGCACTAAATATATTTGAATACATTAAGTATTCTTAAATTTTATCATAAATTTTAATATATCATCGAAGTGATAAAAATATTGAGTGGGCATATTTTATTCACATATTACGTGTACTTAAATGCTTCATAATTTTGTGGTACTAAAATAATAACGAAGCCACATTTTGTCATAGGAATCAACATTAATAAATCATGTAATTGAAAATTAAAAATACATTTAAAATGTACCCTCATGATTTTAGGCTAAACCACATGTCAATTATATTAATTATTTTGTTTTAATCGTTATTTTGGTTCAAAGTGAGAAAATTGTGTATTTATTTGATTTTAGGTTGAGTTGTATGTTAAATACTTTATGATTTTTAAGTTCCATTCACCTTTTTGATTTAAGACTAGAGAGTTGTCTATCTTCTTGATTTTAGATTAAATCATATATATCTAAATTTTATATTGTTAATTTGACTTATTATCATATATTTTTCACTAATAAATCTATGAGATCAACTCATGTGAGAGAGTCTCTTAATTTAAATAATTGTTGACTAATATAAAAATAATATAAGGTGAATTACAGTGATGAGGATGACTTACTTCAAATGTTTCAATCATAAGTTTAAACATTTTAAAGTGATTCAATTCGACTCACTATGAGTTCGAGTTTAACCAAGTTAGAATTTTTTTTTACACTAATCTTAGTTTATTTCCAACTTGCAAGCCAAACAAATTTGAAATGAGTTGACTTATTTAACTCACTAATAATTAAAACATAATAAAATGTTATATTCCAATACTCTCTCCAAATTTATATATAAGAAAAAAAATAAAAATTATTGGTCTCAATTATAATCAAATTTTAATTGAGTCAAAATTTATTTAATACTTTCAATTCATAAATATCTATAAGACAATAAGTGAAAACACTATTTACAATAAATGTGATTAGGGATATTTTAGTAAATGTAACGTATATTTCATATAAAATTATAAAAATTAAATACATTCAACTACCTTTCTTAATATGTGTATAATTGATTTAAATATATATATATATATATATATATATATATATTTGAATAATGAATGACTTTTAGATAAAAATTGTGATTTAAAAAAAAATTAAATTACTATTATTTTATATATTATATATTTTTTAAAAATACAGTGAGTTAATTCACTTAACACATCAATCTATGATAGATCGAGTTCGGTAGAAATTTTCTTAATTCACTAGAAAATGAGTTG